TCTGGGGTCATCCCACTGGGATCTGGGAACATCCCACGGGGATCTGGGAACATCCCACCGGGATCTGGGAACATCCCACCGGGATCTGGGCTCCCCGAGGGGCCGGGAAGGGTCAGGGAGGGATCCCGGGGGTGCCGGATCCCCTCCCGGGGGTGGGGCCATCCCTGATTCCCACCATTCCCGTGGGATTCCAGCACCTCCGGGTGGGGTGGGAGCAGCTGCTGACGACGATCGCCCGGACCATCAACGAGGTGGAAAACCAGATCCTGACCCGCGACGCCAAAGGGATCAGCCAGGAGCAGATGCAGGAATTCCGGGCCTCCTTCAACCACTTCGACAAGGTCCGGGATCCGGGGGGGACCCAGGGGGGGCCCAGGGATCGGGGGGATCCCGGGAACCCCAGGGATTTGTTGGGATCGTTGGGATCCCGGAGGGATCTGCGGGTGACGCCCCAGATCCCCACCCGGAGCAGCCCCACGGGGTTGTTCCCACCTGGGAACGTGGGAATTTCCTCCTGGTTTCCCTCGTTTTTCTTCCTTTCCCCCCTCCAATTTCCCCCCCAGTTTTCCCATTTCCCATTTTTCTTGGTTTTTCCCCGTTTCCCACCTCGGAACGTGGGAATTTCCTCCTGGTTTCCCTCATTTTCCCCCCGTTTCTCCCTCATTTTCCCCCCGTTTTTCCCCACTGTCCCCCTGTTTTTCCCCCCTTTTTCCATGTTTCCCCTCGTCCTGCTCCATTTTTCCCGCTTTTCCCTGTTTTCCAGGACCACGGGGGGTCCCTGGGCCCGGAGGAGTTCAAGGCCTGTTTGATCAGTCTGGGCTACGACGTCGAGAACGACCGGCAGGTACCACCCTCTTCCTCCTCCTCCTCCTCCTCCTCTTCCTCCTCCTCCTCCTCCCCCCGCAGCCGAAGCGCCGCACGGACTCCAAGGACTTCCGTGCCCTCCTGGGCCCCGCGGGATCCGGGCTGGTAACGCTCCTTTTTCCATCTTTTCCAACTTTTTTTTCCCCCTTTTCCGCCTTTTTTTCCCGTTTTTTGGGGAGGGGGGAGGGGAGGAGGGGGCTGGGAATGCGCCGGAACCTTGGAAAAGCTCTGCATGTCCCGGAAAAGCACCAGAATCCCCAGGGGGGGAAAAAAGCTCTGGAATCCCTTGGAAAGCTCCGGGATTCCTGAGAAAGCTCTGGAATTTCCTGGGGAATATCTGGAATTTTTGGGAAAGCTGTGGAGTTCCTGGAGGAGCTCCGGAATTGGTGGGAAAAGCACCGGGAATCCCCGGAAAAGCTCTGAAAAATCTCAGGAGAAGCTCCGAAATGAGCAGGAAAAGCTGTGAAATGAGCAGGAAAAGCTGCAGAATTCCCGGGAAAAGCCCCGGACTTCCTGACCGTGGTCCTCCCCCCGCCCAGGGTGACGCGGAATTCCAGCGGATCATGGCCGTGGTGGATCCCAACGGCAGCGGGAGCGTGACGTTCCAGGCCTTCATCGACTTCATGTCCCGGGAAACGACGGACACGGACACGGCGGAGCAGGTCATCAACAGCTTCCGGGTCCTGGCCGGGGACAAGGTGAGGAAAACCGGGAACGCCGGCAGGTTTGGGAACGCCTCGGTGGGATTTGGGAACGACTCGGTGGGATTTGGGAGCGGTTTGTCGAGGTTTGGGAATTCCGGGGCTGGATGGGAAACGTGAGGGGGAAAGGGGGGGGAAATGGGAAGGGAAAATGGTGGGAAATGAGAAGGGGAAAGGATGGGAAATGTGAGGGGAAAAGGGCAGGAAACGTGAGGGGAAAATGGTGGCAAATGTGAGGGGAAAAAGGGGGGGAAATGTGAGGGGAAAAGGGTGGGAAACGTGAGGGGAAAAGGGCAGGAAATGTGAGGGGGAAAGGGCGGGAAACATGAGGGGAAAAGGGTGGGAAATGTGAGATGAAATGATGGGAAACGTGAGGGGAAAAGGGGGGGAAATGGGAAGGAAATGTGAGAGGAAAAGGGCGGGAAACACGAGGGGAAAAGGGCGGGAAATGTGAGGGGAAAAGGGTGGAAAATGTGAGGGGAAAAGGGGGGAA